TTAGGTTAAGCATGAGCGGCACTTTTCTGCTTTCAGCGTTGACTACGCTTCGCGCCCGTGCACCACCACTTTTTCATACATGATGGTACTGGAGAGATGTTCTCAGCCCTTCCGGTTCGACACTGTAGTAACATGAATAATGGAATTTGCACTTATCGGCAGCTCTTCACTCCGGATGCAGAATGCATTTTGAGGGGCTGCCAGCATAAAAAACCAATTGCCACAAAATTTAGATTTCTTTTTACAAGGCGGCAATTTCACTGTAAGCTTTCTGGAGTAGATGAAAGCGTTCGGCACCGGATCGGCCTGCATCACTGTGTATGGGATTTTGCTTATCAGTGCGGTTACTTTGTGCAGTGGGCACAATACCCGAACAGAAACAGCAAAAGGAACTTACGTAAGTGCACTGATGGAGTTATCCTTTATGCATTGGCATAATGAAAAGGGGGGATGATGTGTTCGCATTTAGTCCTCCGAGCGGCACAAATCTGGGTAAGTGATTGAAGACATACCCAACTGACGGTTATTGCGATCGTGTTCTACTCAGCAAACTACTTCCGAATACCTTAACCTCTAAGAGACAAAATTTTACCTTAGATGTGCATAAAGGGAGAGCGGAAATGAGAACTGGCCACATCGTTCAAAAAGTCAGGATGACACATTGACAGGGAGATATTCAAGACTGCCGGACCAGCACGGTTTTGAGGGGATCTTCTCAAAATTTGATCTCAGTCTATATTTCGTGATTAAAGTCGAAAAGCTTGCGGACGCTTGAATGGAAGCACAGGCAAAAGGGAGAGCTCAGACAGGCTCGTTTTTTAAACGTTTAGAAGGAGATAGTTGTCCTCCTGACTAATATTAATGAGTGGCACAACATACATTTGCAAGTGTTCTGAGAAGAGATCCTTACTTGAAAATATTAAGTGAATAGCATAACAGTACAGTACTAAAATTGAGCGGGTAGCCTGCTAAATTACCTCCAAAAAACCCCTCAGCGAGCAAGTACGGTTGCAACTTTTTCTATCCTGAATTATTTTTATGCCTTTTTTGTGACACGGTTTTTCATCTCAAGACCTACAAAAGCTATAGGGTTGAAACTTTGGGAACTTAATCTACTTGGACGTTCAGGCCCCAATCCCCAAAATGGGCGCTCCTACCCGCGTCGTACCGCGCACGGACCCGCTAAACTTTTT